CCTGTCACTCAGTAAGGGCCTGCCTGGCACAGAGCTGGGCAAGGCACTGTGCAGCTGCTAGCCTTGGGCAGTGAAGTAGAAGTCTTGAAGCTGTTTTACAGTGTGATGTTACCGGAGGTGAACTACTGGAATCTGTTGGGGGGGGAGATTACTGACTGACGTTCTCCTTGTTTGCAAGCAGTTACCAGTTGTCGGGCCAGCTGGCTAGCGTAACCCATAGACTGCCCGCCTGCAACGTGCTGACAGTGTCTGTTTCACTGAATAGAACTGGATGGGGGAATACGTTTACAGAATAATCAATAACTAGGACACCAGACCTAGTGGGTGGGTATTAGGATTTTCTTGTTGGCCAGTGGAAAGAAAGAAGAATTGGTGTTTGTATAGAACTTGTCACAACCTCATAACTTCCCAAATTAATGTGCAGCCAGTAAATGGAAAGATGGGCAGCCCAGTGGCTCAGTGGTTAGCGCTGCTGCCTCACAGCGCCAGGGACCCAGGTTCGATTCCACCCTGTGTGGAGTTTGCACAGCCTCCCCGTGTCTGTGTGGGATTGCTCCGGTTTCCTCCCACGGCCCAAAGATGTGTAGGTTAGGGTGGATTGGCCGTGCTAAATTGCCCATAGTGTCTGAGGATGTGTCAGCTAAGTGGGTTAGACATGGGAAATGCAGGAATTTAGTAGTGGGTGGGATGCTCTTCGGAGGGTCGGTGTGGACTCAATGGGCTGAATGGCCTGCTCCCACACTATAGGGATTCTATGAAAAAGAAAGGTTTGCATTTGCATAGTGTTTTTCACGATGACCAGATTTCTAACATGGGAATCACGCTGTAATGTAGGATGTACCTCAACCAATTTACAGCTAGCAGGCTCCTACTAAAAACACTGAGAGGGTTATTAGTCTGTGGAATTCACTTCTCTAATATGCAGTGGAGGCAGAATTGATGAATGTTTTGAACATTGTTTATTTTGAGCAATGTGGACTGACAGCAACAGGGCTGGAAATGTGGATAAGTTTGAACGTTTAGGAAGCAATGTTATTCATGAATGCCTGATTGATGAATGATACCAGGGCATCCCAAATTGGGGGTCAGGACCCCAAGTGGGGTGGCGAGCTGAAATTCCTAGGTTTATGAGCTCTGGGGCAACAACGTCTGCCCCCTTTATTCCTGCTCACATCGTTCTTCCACGCCTTGCCACCCACACACACCGCTCATTGAGGTACTGGGACACGTTTCAAACCTCTAAACGTGTTTACAGTGGGGAGAAACTGTTCCTAAACCCTGAACTGTAGTGTGTCACTGTGACAGGGCACTTTGCATCAATTGGCTGGCACAAGTGACAAGAGTGAAAACTCTTCAAAAGGACTTGATTGTCAGTGGATGTTATGAAAGGTGCTACATAAATACAAGTCCTTCCTTTTCTATTCACGCTTAATTTTTATTACAAATGGCTGAAAGGATGTTTGTTTGCCAGATTTGACACTGAAGTGAGCTTCCTGTTAGCCGGCAGATACTGCACATATTTTCCTGGCTACAACTTGTCCTCGCCCACCACTTCCAGCTCTTCCTGATTCAAATCGAGGAGTTGTTCCTGGAATCCCTGTGCTGAGGGCCTTACGAGCTGAGAGTAGGCCTGTTACAGGATGAAAATGGGAGGGGACATAATCAAAGGCTTGTAATAGGATAAATCCACTCAAACCCTCAGAAGGGGAGTAAGTAATCCAAGGTGACCAATAGAATTGGCTGGATGTATCCTAGGAAATCTCACCAGAAGTATGATATCTGGGATGTTTGGCACGTGTGAACTCCAAGGGACCATGAGAGTGGAAAGCACACTGAGGTCTCAACTGAACCCACAACCAAAGCCTGTTCCATAAACTTACCTGATACATTCTCACCAATACAATTATGCAACAGTTTCATTTTGTTTTGTTAAAAGTTAAGCCAGAACCAACTCCATCTTTCCCCTTTTACCTCCTCAAGTCAGTGACTGGGAAGAGGTGTTGATGAGTGCAGTGTGTGTGAGCACATGGGTCACTCTGTGTTTCACATCCTTGCTCTGCCATGACATCGCCGTTTTATCGCAAATGGTAAGCTTCCATCCAAATTGTACTCCTTTGGTAGTACAAGACCTGAGTATTGCAGAGACAAAGCACTTTCTGTGTCAAAATTGTTCATCTTGCACTCATCAGGACATCTTGCAAGAAATACCAAAGTGAAGGGAAAACAACATATCTCCTGTATGAGAGGAGAGTTCTGATTGGTTGGCCAGTAGACATGATGTCTTTGGAGAATGCACCAGTTAATAATGACTGACAGTTAAGTGGCAAGCTTTGATTAAATTTTAAACCAGGAATTTAACTCTGATTAGTCAGGGTATAGCCCTAAGAAATGAACTAGTGATTGACGGCCTCATGATTTGTAGAGGTGCAACAGGTGCAGTGTGTCTGTTTAACAGGCAGAGTGTGTGTGTCTCAGTAATGGTCAGGGACTGTCTCTGTAACAACACGTACAGTGTATCCATGTAACAGGTGGTGTGTGTGTTTGTAACAACAGGCGGAGTGTGTGTCTGTGTAACAGGTGCAGCCCATGTACATGTTGACTCTCATCATTAATTGGTACATTTTGTATGGCACTGTCTCTACCAATCAGAAACCACTTCCCAACCAATCAGCACTTCCCTCTCACGTATAAATGTTCGTTTCCCTTCATTTTGGTATTCTTGTAAGTTGTCCTTATTTCAACCCCAGTGCCTCATTTATATACTTTTTCTCCTTTAGCCTTTATTTTAAATTAACCTGTTCAGAGATGTTATTACGCACCTCTGGAACCTGGACCCCTTGGTCCCGGGTAGGGACATAACCACAGTGCCACAAGTGGGCCATGCTTAGTTTGTAAGCACTATACCTCCAATGATAGACGTCCATTTATGTAACTTTACCAGCAGTTCCGAGTTTACAGCCAGTGAGCTGCTTCTGAAATCTTGTTCCTGTTGTAACTTATGAAATGCAGCAGTCAGCTCTCACGCAGCAAATTCCACCAATGTGATAACGGGCAGATAATCGGTTTGGTTTAAGGGATAAATGAGCAGAATTCCCAGGTCATCTTCAAATAGCACTGTGGGGATGATTTATACCCACCTGCTTGGGCAGATAGGACCTTACCTTTATATCACATTTGGAGGGTGTGACCTTCAAAAATGCAGCCCTGCCCCCAGTACGGCACTAAGGTTAAACTGAGAATAGGTGCTCAGGTCTTCAGAAGTGGAATATCACTGATTCTGCAAAGTGAGACTGCTGCCCACTCAGAATATTACGCTTAAATTTTCAAGTAAGATGCATACGGATTTTTGAAAGGGGAGCCAAGGGTTATAGAAGAGCTGAGGCTGGGGCAATAGGGGAGTGGTGTTGAGGCTATAATTAGATCAGCCTTAATCTCATCAAATGTTGGAGAGGGTTTGATTTTTGATTTGATTTATTATTGTCACCTAAGTACAGTGAAAAGTTTTGTTTTGCATACAGTACAGGCAGATCGTACCATACAAAGTACATTAGGGTAATAGAACAGAGTGAGGAATACAGTGTTACAGCTGCAGGTATAGTGCACAAAGAGTGAGATCAACATTTAAATATAAAATTTGAGATGTCCATACAGAAGACTAATAACAGCGGGAAAGAAGCTGTTCTTGAACCTGTTGGTATGTGTGTTTAAGCTTCTGTATCTTCTGCCCAACGTAAGAGGTTGGAAGAGATTATAACTGGGGTGAGAGGGGTCTTTCATGATATTGGCTGCCTTTCCGAGGCAGGGAGAAGTATAGATGGAGTCAGTGGGTAGAAGGTTGGTTTGTGTGATGGACTGGGCTGCGTTCACAACACTCTGTAATTCCTTATGGTCCTGGGCAGAGCAATTGCCGTACCAGGCCATGATGCATTCAGATAGAATGCTTTCTATGGTGCATCTTTAAAAATGAGTAAGAGCCTTTACAGACATGCCGAATTTCCTTAGCCTCCTGAGGAAGAGGAGGTGTTGTTGTGCTTTCTTGACAGTAGCGTCAACGTGGGGAGGACCAGGACAGATTGTTAGTGATCATCATGACTGGGAATTTGATGAGCTGTATGGCCTACTACTCCTATTTGTCACATTCTTGTACAATCTTTGACCTCTCGATCCAAAGGTGAGGTGAGGGTGGGACAATAGGGGAGTGGGGTTTGAGGCCATAATTACATCAGCCTTGATTTCATCAAATGTCGGAGCGAGTTTGATTTTTGATTTGATTTATTATTGTCACATGTACCTAGGTACAGTGAAAAGTATTGTTTTGCATGCAGATCATACCATACAAAGTGCATAATGGTAATAGAACAGAGCGAAGAATACAAGGTTACAACTGCAGAGAAGGTTCCCTATTTGCTGTTTCTCGATGGACCCTGTGTTTATTGACACTTTACAACTGGGATTTGATCAGCTGCAGGTTGGAGCTTGCTTCACTATGAGGTTTGTGATGGAGGAGTGTAGGAGTAGAGCTGACAGAAGGGTCTGAGTTGAACGTATTGATAGAGATCAGTTATAAAACGCTTGACTGGGAGAAAAAAAACAGAAGTTGCTGGAAAAGCTCAGCAGGTCTGGCAGCATCTGTGAAGAAAAAGTCAGAGTTAATGTTTCGGGTCTGGTAATCCTTCCTCAGAACAGTTCTGAGGAAGGGTCAACAGTTCTGAGGAAGGGTCACCGGACCCGAAACATTATCTCTGATTTTTTTCTTCCCAGATGCTGCCAGACCTGCTGAGCTTTTCCAGCAACTTCTGTTTTTGTTCCTGATTTACAGCATCCACAGTCCTTTCGGTTTTTATTTAGTGCTTGACTGGGAGAGGTTGACTATATATGGCCAGGCTGGGGCTACTGAGTGTGAACGGTGGGGATAAGGGGAGAACTGGCTCTGTACAGTGGCTGAAAACAGCAATGATAGATATCAAAAACTCACATCAATGTTCCTTTGTATTTTCCAGCTGCTGACATCAAGATTGTGGCGGAAAAGAGTCCAACCAATGACAAGGAAGGAGAGAAGGGGCCAGCCAATGACAAGGAAGGAGAGAAGGGGCCAGCCAATGACAAGGAAGGAGAGAAGGGGCCAGCCGATGACAAGGAAGGAGAGAAGGGGCCAGCTAATGACAAGGGAGGAGAGAAGGGGCCAGCCAATGGCGTAGAAGGAGAGAAGGGGCCAGCCATTGATGAGGAAGGAAAGAAGAACCTAGGCAAGGAGGAAGAGGCAGAGAAGGGTCTAGTTAAGGATGAGCCACATCCTGGCCCCTCCAGATCCACTGCTTTGGGCAAAAGCCCTCGAGGAAAGCAAGGTATGAGAGCTTGCTGCCTGGAAAGGAGTGAGCTATTTATCTTCTACCTAAATCCCAATTTAAATTGGGCTGTTTGAACCAGAAAGCTCTTGCTGTTACTTTCAGTTTTTCATTCGTGAGGCCTGGGAAAGAACAGAAGGAGAGTAGTGTATTCAGTTGGTGCAGCTAAAGGAAGATAGTGGAGATGGTAACTGTTAATGACCATCCTGACCTGTTACCAGAGCAACTGAAAACCACACTCTCTTTTAACACCCTCTGAAATTCAGTGTAGGATGTGATGGATCTTAGCCTGTCGCACTTTACATTAATTTTCCTCTTATTACCACTTAGCTATTACCATGCAGTCAATGTGTCCTCACTCAAAGTATCATTTCCTGTGAAGATAATGGAACCTGTGGCAGGTGGACTTAGTTTCCCCTTGCTGCTGTTCAATCCTGTTGTTGACTGCCACTTGTATTTGGGGTATATGGAGTGGCCCCGTGTTAGTTGTGTTCAGTGGATGATTAACTGGGGTGGGAGGCGCTTTGGGACTTTTCCTCCATCTAATCTGTTTTCACTCTGATTGGATGACACTGTGGTTAAAGAGAAACTATAAGCGATTGGGTTTAATTGCAGGCTGGCTGATTTTAAGTTTCTCTTGGAAGAATCAAGCATTGTTCTCAGCTTCTGACTGTTACACACTTCTTAGCTTCCCCCTGCCTACCTTTGTCTCTGTATCTCCCTGAATATTCATGATTTTGTCTTTCTGTAACTGTGTTTTCTGGTGTCTCTGTCTGTGTCTCTCTCCCCTCTATTTTTTGTATCACGCTCTCTCGCGCTCTCTCTGTATGTCTCTCTCTGTCTTTCTCTCTCTCCTTTATTTGATATGATTTATTATTGTCACATGTATGTAACTACAGTGAGAAGTTTTGTTTTGCATGCAGTACAAGCAGACCGTAACATAAAGATCATCGGGTGATTTGTACGAAGCAAAGCATGCAAAGTTACTGAATTGAGGTTGAAAAGTGCGGAATGATTGTAAGAAATGTGATAATAAGATCTGCTGTAGATAGCTCGCAGAGATTCACCCTGTGTCAGTGCTGTCTTGTATCCATATCCTCTCTGTGTTTTCTCGTTTTCAGTTGTGCCCTTGTCAACTTAAGGTGATTGTTGAAGGAAGTAGTGAGGGAAACCTTTTTTTTAACATAGTGAGTGGTTAGGTTCTGGAATTTATTGCCTAAGATTGTGGTGGAGGCAGATGGTAAAGGGATTTGGGCCATTATCCAAAAAAGGTAGAATGTGCAGTGTTACAGTGACCAGGCAGGGAAGGGGCATTGGGTGAGTTGCTGTTGCTGGTAGCCAGTACAGACATGACTGGCTGAATGGTCTCTTGCGCAAAGATTCTATACCTCTGCCCCTCCATCTGCCTATCCCACTTTGGCCCCTCTCCAGCTTCCTTTCTGCTCCTCACTGTCTCTGTTGGTCAGCCAGGTTTCATGCTCCATTGCCCCTCATTTGCTTCATTGTCGTGAGTCCAGGATGCAGTCGTTCATTTTGAAACCCAGACTGATGAATAATTCAAGGAAAGGTGTGCACCCATCAGATAGCTCATTGAAGATGCTGTTTATTAAAACACAGTTGATCTGTTCAATGTATAATTCTTCCCTTCGCTGCAAAGATCTTGTGTTCCGTCTGTGAAACTGTTCAACAAAGCTGCATTATCGGTTGAATAAACAGGAGCTTAATATAAACTACATTATTCACCGACACAATTCATTGTATAATTGTGCTTTAAATCAGATTGCTTGTGTTAATGTCTCATTTACCGATGCTGTGTCACAGGAGTGGAATGCTTCAGCAGGGCTGCTCATTCCACTTTTTAAAACTTTTAAAAATTCTTCCATGGGATGGCATCACCACGAGGTCAGCATTTGTTGCCCATCACTGATGGTGAGGTGCTGGTGAGCTGCCTCCCAGAATCACTCCAGTCCTTGGCGTGTAGGTACACTCACAATGACCCAGTGACAGTGAAGGAACGGTGATATGTTTCCAAGTCAATGTGGTGAATGGTGTTCCCTTGTATTTGCTGCCCTTGTCCTTCTAAGTGGAAGTGGTCATAGGTTTGGAAGGAACTGCCTAAGGAGCCGTGGTGAATTTTTAAAACTTTTTTTATAGAATCCCTACAGTGTGGAAACAGGCCCTTCGGCCCAACAAGCCCACATTGACCCTCCGAACATCCCTCCCAGACCCATCCCCCTATAACCCACCTAATCTACACATCCCTGAACACTACGGGCAATTTAGCATGGCCCATCCACCTACCCTGCACATTTTTGGACTGTGGGAGGAAACCCACGCAGAGACAGGGAGATGTGCAAACTCCGCACAGACATTCACCCGAGGGTGGAATCAAACTCGGGTTCCTGGCGCTGTGAGGCAACAGTGCTAAGCACTGAGCGTGCATCTTGTAGATAGTAGACATTGCTGCTGCGACTGACCATTGGTGGTGGAGGGATTTAATGCTGGTGGATGCAGTGCCAATCAGGTGGGATGCTTTGTCCTGGATGGTGTTGAGCTTCTTGAATGTTGTTGGGGCTGCACACATCTAGGCAAGTGGGGAGTATTCCATCACACTCCTGACTTGTGCCTTGTAGATAGTGAACAGGCTTTGAGGGGTCAGGAGGTGAGTTACTCGCTGCAGGATTCCCAATGTCTGACCTGTTCTTGTAACCGTGTGCTTGGCCGATAAGATGAGGGAGGATCCAAAGAGATTCTGCAAGTATATTAAGGGCAAAGGAGTAACAAGCCTGCGAATAGGGACCCTTAAAGATCAACAAGGTCATCTATGTGTGGAGTCACAGGAGATTGGTGAGATCCTAAGCAAATATTTCTTGTCAGTTTTAGAGAAAGACACGGAAGCTAGGGAACTCAGGGAAGTAAATAGCAATGTGTTGAAAACAGTCCACATTACAGAAGAGGACATGCTGGAGGTCTCAAAGGCATGAAGGTAGATAAATCCCCAGGACCTGATCAAGTGTATCCCAGGACATTGTAGGAAGCTAGGAAACAAATTGTGAGTCCCCTAGCAGAGATGTTTGTATCATCCACAGCCATGAGTGAGGTGCCTGGAGGGTGGCTAATGGTGTGCTGCATGGAAAAGCCAGGGCATTACAGACCAGTGAGCTGAATGTCAACGTTGGAGGGGATTCTGAGAGATAGGATCTACATGCATTTGGAAAGGCAAGGACTGATTAAGGATAGGCAACATGGCTTTGTGTGCGGGGAAATCATGTCTCAGAAATTTGATTGAGTTTTTTGAAGGTGCAATCAAGAAGACAGATGAAAGCAGAGTGGGAGACGTTGCCTCCATGAACTTTAGCAAGGCTTTCAATAAGGTTCTGTATGGTAAACTGGTTAGTAAGTTTAGATCCAAGGTGAACTAGCCAGTTGAATACAAAATTGGCTTGACGGTAGGAGACAGAGGCTGGTGACAGAGGATTATTGTTCACATTGAAGGCCTGTGACCAGCGGTGTGCTGCAAGGATCGGTGCTGGGTCCACTGTTGTTCGTCATTCATATAAATGATTTGAATGAGAATTTGAGGCATGGTTCGTAAGTTGCAGGTGACACCAACGTTGGTGGCAAAGTGGACAGTGGGGGAGGTTATTTAAGGGTACAATGGGATCTTGATCAACTGGGCCAGTGGGCCATGGATTGGCAGATGGAGTTTAATTCGGGTAAATGTGAGATGTTGCATTTTGGTAAGGCAAATCAGGGCAGGACTTGTACAGTTAATGATAGGGCCCTGGGGAGTGTTGTCGAACAGAGAGACTAGGAATGCAGGCATATAGTTCCTGGAAAGTGGTGTCACAGGCAGACAGGGTGGTGAAGAAGATGGCCTTCATTGCTCAGAGCGTTGTGTATAGGAGTTGGGGCATCACGCTACGGCTGTACAGGGCATTGGTGAGGCCACATTTGGAGTACTGCCTACAATTCTGGTCGCCCTGCTATGGGAAGGATGTCGTTAAACTGGAAAGGATGCAAAAAAGGATTTGCAAGGATGTTACTGAGACGCAGCAGGTTTGAGTTATAAGGAGAGGCTGAATAGGCCAGGACTTCTTTCCCTGGAGTGTGGGAGGCTGAGGGGTGACCTTATAGAGGTTTATAAAATCATGAGAGGCACAGATAGGATGAATGGCGAAGGTCTTTTTCCCCAGGGTAGGGAAGTCCAAAACCGTACAGCATAGGCTTAAGGTGAGAGGGGAAAGATTTAAAAGAGACCTGAGGGGCAACTTTTTCAATTATAATTAAAATTACATTTAAAAGGTATTTGGGCAGGTCCATAAATAGCAAAGGTGTGGACGGATTTGGGCCAAATGCAGGCAAATGGGACTAGTTAAGTTTAGGAAAGCTGGTCATCATGGGCGAGTTGGGCCGAAGGGTGTGTTTCCTTGCTGCATGACTGTATGACACTATATAGCGAGTCCAATTGAGTTTCAGCAAGAAATTCAAGCCCACACTCCACTTCAGACTTTTCGATCAATGTGTTACACAAACTTCAACTCTTTCAAAAAGCCATCTCTCATGCTCTGCCCTGCACCGGGTCTCACTGACCATCCCTCCTACTCATCTCGTCATCCTCATCTCCCATCCCCTCCTCACTCCCATTACCGCAACCCCCCCCAACCCCATCACCCTATACTGGGGAAAGCGGCAGATGTTTCCCTTTAGCACCATTGCTGTAGATCCAGTCCCTGTTGGGTCAGTCCCTGCGGGTCATGACGTGTTGACACTGACTGGGGTAGAGGTGGGTAGGACCACGGTGCTGGGGAGAAGGCAGCACCTACTGTTCCTATTACTATCACCAGTCGCTGCGGGTCCTGTCGCCCAGTCCCTGCAGGTCCTCTTGGTTAATTCCTGCGGGGTTGTTGTTGGGATTATGTTGGGTCTCCTCATGAATTTTTGAGCCTCTGATTACGCATTCTCTAAAATCCAGTCCCTCATGTCTCAGACCTCTGTTC